ACATACTGTATTGTGTATCATAATTGTGCATGACTTTATATTTGAGCTAAATAAATGAATGGAAAAAAAAGAAGGGACTTTGAGAGCCCATTCCACATGAAGGGATGCTCTGATCCGGGACACATAGATAAAATTTTTAATCCTGTAGATGATGAAGCTTTTACAGAAGAGCTTGACTTTTCACTGACTCTCTGAACACGAGAGGAGGTGGGAAGAGTATCACTGGGTCACAGGTGCACCTTTTGGGGGGAGGTGGTGAACCCTGGTGCTATGTGTGTTCAGACAAAATATCAACACAGAAATGATGATTTGGCTCCTTTTTCAGGGTATATATTCAGTTAAGATATAAGGATAAATTGCAAGTCAAACAACAAATATTTATTGAGACCTAGGCCAGTCATGAGTAAGAACTAGAAATTCCTAAGAGTAAAGGGAAATCGAAGTGCGGATGCTGTTATAGAATAAAGTTTGGAGCATGTTCTAGTTACTTTCTGTTGCCATGATAGAATACCATGACCATGGCTACATAAAGAAGGAAGAGTTTATTTTGGTTTATGGTTCTAGAGGGACCCAAGAGTCCATTATGGGATGAGACATGGCAGCAGGCAGGCATTGTGGCCAAAGCAGGCAGCTGAGAGACCACGTCCTTAGCTGTAAGGACAAAGTGAGAGAATGAACTAGAGGTGGGGTGATGTACTTCTTGCTCAAGTGTCACCTCCAAGGGTCTGAGCTGTACACCGCTAAAAGTTCATTGACTGTGGAGGGTCCTTGGGTTTTGTCATTTGTGATGGCTTTTCTCCAGTGGCCTGTTTGATTTTCAGATACAAAGATCGCCGTTAAGAATCCACGTAACGTGAATTCACAACAGTGACCCCAGCTAAGAATCTAAGCAACAGTGGAGAGATTCCTTAACTGTCCTTCTCCTGTAATCAGACTGGTGACTACCTTAATTGTCATCATAGAACCTTCATCCAGTAACTGACGGAAGCAGACACAGAGATCCACAGCTACGCCCTGGGCAGAACTCCTGGAGTCCAGTTGTAGAGAGGGAGGAGCGATAGTATGAGCAAAGGGGTCAGGACCATGGTGGGGAACCCACAGAAACAGCTGGCTGAGCAAGTGGGAACTCACTGACTCTAGACTGACAGCTAGGGAACCTGCAAAAGACAGAACTCGGTGCTCTGAATGTGGGTGACAATTGGGTGGCTTGGGCAATTTATAGGGCCTCTGGCAGTGGAACCAGTATTTAACCCTAGTGCATGAACTGACTTTTTGGAGCCCATTCCCTATGGAGGGATACTTGCTTAGCCTAGACACAGCAGGGGGGACCTTGGTCATGCCTTAAGTGATTTGATAGACTTTGTTGATTCCCCATGGGAGGACTTACTCTCTCTGAGGAGTGGATGGGGGTGGGGTGGGGAGAAGGTGGGCAGAGAGGGAGGATGAAAGGGAGAGGTAACTGGGATTGGTACGTAAAATAAGATTGTTAAAAAAAAAAAAAGACCAAATTGAGTTCTAATTGTGCCATTGCTTGATCTTCTATTGCTCTAAATTTGAATAGCTGTTTCATGTTAAGTCATGACTATTTGTTTTGGGGTGAGAAAGGATGTTATGTAAACCTGAAACTACTATAGGAAAAGAATTTGGGGGGGGGTGGGGACAATAAAATACACTTTTGTGGCCACAAATGAGCCTCTGATTTTAGTTAGGTTTTATGAAGAGAGAAAGCCTTTCCTGGACTCTCATTGAGGACAAGGCCTTCTAGTCTGTGTTTTTCTGCCAGGCCTCTGGGTCAGGTATCTCTCTGGGAGACAGCCTTGGAGCACTGGTGGGACTCTTGTCTGCCCCCTCTCCAGATTGGGCAAGGGAACCTCAGCCATCTAACACTTCTCCTCAGGGCCCTAAGGTGTGACAGACTTGTAAACACAGTGGCCAGGCTGTTTGCTAGCCATTCTTCAGCTCCTCCCCAGAGGGAGGTCACCTCTGTTCTTTCAGAGCCTCCCAGTAGTGTTTGCACTACACTCACTGATGCACTGCAATGTCTGTCCTTGTCCTTCCTTCTTCCTCTCTCGCTCTGCTCCTCTCCCCTCTCTCTCCATCTGCCTTCTCATTCTTTTGCTGCATTGTCTTGTCTATGTCACTTAGGGTCAAACACACTATTCATTTCCCAGCGTGATTGCGTTTTTTTTTTTTTTTTTAATCAGCAATCTAGAAAGTTCAGCTGAACACGAACCCTGCTTCTTCCCAACAATTCTGTTGACTGAACAGAATTGTTCAGTCCCATCCCACTTCAAGGTTTTAGCGGGTGGCCCTAACACTTGAGGCTATTCTGAAGGGGTGTCGTGAATAAGCTCACCTCTGCTGGAGATGTATTCCCACCTGATTTCAGGTTAAGATGGACAACTACCATCTTGTGACTTGCCAAGTGCAGCTTGCTAGGGCTGAGGCCCCAAACTCACCTGCCTAATTTCAGAGCTGAACCATTTGTTTGTGGCAGATTAGACCCCTCTGTGGCTACCAGCCCTAAATGGAGAGGCTGAACATAAAGGCAACTAGGAACTGACCTGTGTCTTTATCACTTTGAGCATCACAGACTCTGACGGCTGCTTCCCCCAGAAACTGTGTTCTCCTGAAAGAGCAGATGGACTCTGCAAAGTGTGTGCTTACATTGGTTCCCCACACTTTAACAAGGTCATTAAAACAGACACTTCTGGAGTTTGAGGAAATGCAAAGGCCTCTCTTTCTGTCCCCAGATCCCCACTTGTCCAAATTCCCCTAAAAGAAAGGAGACAAATGCCCCGAATTGTGTCTGCATTTCCTCCTTTACTCTTAAAACAAAATTCTGCCATTGTTAAATTCTGCTCATGTAAAGTATGTGGTTTATTGTCAGAATCAAGGGGGAGTCTGTTTTGCCTGTGTCTTTCACACCCTTCCCTGACAGCGTTCTCAAGGACTTACTCTTCAGGCCCAAGGCACAACCAAGGCATTGTGCCTTGGTCTGGCCATTGGTCTGGCCATTTGTCTGGCCCCTGAGATACTATCAGCGTTTTCACTGGGTTCCAGATTTTCAGGGAGCATTTTCTTCACCAGGCACTTGGGACCATGGTGTCATATGCTGTGCCTGTCTCTGTCATGTTGTTGATGACTTGTGTAAATGCCTTTGGGAAGCTCATGGGCGCATTAGGGCAATGGAGCTGCTGTTTGAGAGCCTTTGGTGTGACAGGATGTCCACTGAGCCCTTGGTTATGGGATGGCAGCGTGACAGCGCTCCTTTTCTACAGACATATTGTGTATGGCAATACATGTATTTATCATATGGTTAGGGGCAGGATCCACCTCCGTGTTCAGAACAAATCATTGCATTCTCACCTTTTAAATGTAGCAATGCCATATGACTCAAAGAGCATACCTGAAAAAAAAATTTACAAAACCCACAAAGCAAACAACAACAAAACAACAAGATTTAAGTAAGACGATAAGAAAGGGGGAAAAAAAAGACATAAAGCCTGGGGAGATGTCTCAGAGGTAAGTGGATTGCTGCACAATTCTGAAGACCTGGAATCTGAAACCTAGCACAAACATGAAGCTGGGATGGAGTGTACATGTGTCTACAGCCTCAGCTGGGATCAGGATCCAGTTTATTCATGTTATCAGATTCTTACAGGCTCAATGATTCCATGTGCACCTCAGGCCAGTGTCACAGGAACTGGAAGGAGACTTGGACTCATTCTTTCTTGACTCTTTTCTCCCTAGATGTGCCTTCTTCTCTTTACACAGACTGAGTGTAAAGGTCAAGGTAGCATTGAAGAGGTCGTCTGTATGAGCCATCTCTGTCTCTCCTCCCTTCATTCTGAGTACACTTATTCTCTCCCTCCCCCCCTCTCTCGTAGCAATGAAGAGATCGTCTTTATTAACCATTTCTGTCTCTCATCCCTCTATTCTGAGTACATTTGTTCTCTCTCTCTGTCTCTCTCTGTCTCTGTCTCTCTCTTGTTCTCTATGCTTTATTTGCTTTTACTTGAAAAACAACTTAGATTGGGGATGGTGAGATGGCTTAACAGGCACTGGTACTTGCAGCTCAAAAGACTCAGGTTCAATTCTGTAACCCACATGGTGAAAGTAGACAACTGATTCCTATAAATTGTCTTATGACTCTCTACCTGGGAGACATATGTTTACAGAAGCAATTTTTTTCTGGTTTATGTAAGGAGAAAAGCTGATGATCAAGTCTGTTTTGTGAACAAGTTGACTTCTGTGTATGTCTCTGAGTGTGTGTGTGTGTGTGTGTGTGTGTGTGTGTGTGTGTGTATGCATATATGGGTGCAGGTGTACATGCAGTATACATGCATGTGTGAATACGTGTATGTAGAAGCCAAACAGCAATGGGTGTCTTTCTCTATTGTTCTCCACTTTAGTTTTTGAAATAGGTTCTCTTATTGAACCCTGAGCTCAAAGATTCAGCTGAACTAGCTAGCTAGCAGATCTCAGGATCTTTCTGTCTTTGCCTCCCTAGCATGCCCAGCTAGGGTTCCAAACTCAGGGCCTTGTGTTTTAAACTAAGTACTTTGCTAACCAAGCCACATTTCCCGTCTCATGTGCTGACTGTTCTATCTCATTGCCTGCTCTGGCTGGCTGATCTGTAGTTTAACCTGACTTTCTGTTTCTGTCTAGATGGCGAGAAAGCTCAGTGTATTGGAAGTCCTTCTGATCACTTGCAATATAGTTGCTTTGGCAGTAGACATCCTTTTGTTGCTTCTTGTGCTGGAGGACCCTTCAGGTAAGGATGATGGTGGGTGCTACGTTTCGAGGATGGGAAAAGGAAGTCCCTTCTGGATGCCAGGGATAGCATTTTATTCACACATTCATCATCCCACTACATAAAGCTACTCAAAATCTATCTCTGTGATTAGTTTAAGTCATTCTTCAAGACAAGTATTCTTTGTGTTTGCAATGAAACTTTGGATGTAAATGATATTCTGGGCACTCGGAACCCATCTAGTGAAGTCTCCTTGGAATGCAAAATTAGGCTCACCTGCTGCCCGCTCTGCAGTATATGGTCATAGGTAATGGAGCTAGCTCCCAATGAGAAGGAACAGTGCCAACTCCATCACTATGGAAATGGATGCCAGCTCAGAGGAAGTGGAGGGCCGATGAAGGCAGCCTTTGTGCATCAGTTAGCATTAGCGTCTCACCCATATCAAGACAAACAGCTGAGATTTCTTCACAGATGCCCTTGCCCTCCCTTTGCCTTCTCCACCCACACACTCATGCAGGCATTTCCACACAGAGAAGCATCAGAGTAACTTCTTGTCAGTGCAAATGTTATTTTTTAATAATAAAATGATATGTAACATCATATATAATGTTAAAAATTGTTTTCCTCAGGAAGCTGAGGTAAAAATGGCATGCTTTTTTGACTACAATTGGTAGTGAGTTCCAGGCTAGTCTATGAGATCCCTTGCCCCGCTCCCCAAGCAACAGTAACAACATAAAATGAAATTCAAATTTGGGGATTTTGTTTGATAAAGTCCCTCATGGCTATAGGTGAGACGTGCAATGAAGATGGGCTGGGCTCATGGCTGGGTCTTGCCTGTGCATTGGCTTCACTTCCTTCGCTCTCACCCCTTTTTTTTTTCTCTCTTTATTTTTTTTAAAAAAATTAAATAAATTTTATTTAAATTAGAAACAATCTTATTTTACATATCAATCCCAGATCCTTCTCCCTCCCATCCTTCCATGTCCTCCACCAACCCCCCCATCCTCTCTGCCACCCACTCCCAGGGAGGGTGAGGCCTTCCATGAGGGATCATCAAAGTCTGTCAAGTCATTTGGGGCAGGGCCTAGGCTCTCCCCTGTATATCTAGGCTGAGGGAGTATCCCTCCATGGGGAATGGGCTCCCAAAGTCCATTCGTGCACTAGGGATACATCCTGGTTCCACTGCCAGAGGCCCCATAGATTGCCCAGTGCTCCTAGCTGACACCCACATTCAGGGGGCCTGGTTTGGTCCTATGCTGGTTTCCCAGCTGTCAGACTGGGGTCCATGAGCTCCCCCTTGTTCAGGTCAGCTGTTTCTGTGGGTCTCTCCAGCGTAGTCTTGACCCCTTTGCTTATCCCTCCTCCTCTGTAACTGGATTCCAGGAGCTTAGCTGTGGATCTCTGCTTCTGCTTCCATCAGCTACTGGATGAAGGCTCTACTTCTCTCATACAATTCATCATGACTACAGCATCATCTTAGTCTCCTCCACTCCGAGACGCACCCCACCACCACCTCCCCTCTCCCGAAGATCCACTGCTCCTCCATTTCTCTTCAGAAAACAGCAGGTCTCTCAGTAATATCAACTGAACACAGCATAACACGTTACTTTAAGACTAGGCACAAACCCTCATATAAAGGGTGGACAAGGCAACCCAGTAAGAGGAAAGGGGTCCCAAGAACAGGTAAAAGAGTCAGCCCCACTCCTGCTGTTGGGAGTCTCACAAAAACCTCAAGCTAAACAACCACAGTGTGTATGTAGAAGACCTGCCTCAGACCCTCGTAGGCTCCATGATCGCTGCTTCAGTCTCTCTGAGTCCCTATGAGCCCTGATTAGTTTATTCTCTTGCCTGTGTTCTCCTGGAGTCCACCACCTCTCTGGCTCCTATAGTCCTTCCTTTCCCTCTTCTTTGGGGGTTTCCTGAGCTCTGCCTAATGTTTGGCTGTGGGTGTCTGCATCTGCTCCCATCAGGTGCTGGAAGAAGCCTCTCTGATGACCATTGGACTAGGTACAGATTTAAGGCCGTAGCAGAATATAGTTAGAAATCATTTCATTGATTTCTTTTTTCCAGTCATGTTTAGTTCTGTACTAGGTCTCTGGGCCAGGCAGTGTAAGGCATGGGGTCCCCTTTGTGGCATGGGCTTCAAGTTAGACTGGTCATTGGTTGGCCACCCCCACAAGCTCTGAGCCATCATGACTCTAGCACATTTTGCAGGCAGGATAGGTTGAGTTGGTGTCCCAGTCCCATCACGGAATGCCTTGCCTGGTTACAGAGATGGCTGGTTCAGGCTCCATGTCCTCCGTTGCTAGGGTCACTTTTATAGGTTCCAGGAAGGTTGCACAGCACTAGCTTTTTGTATCATCCTCAAATGCCCCCCAATTCCAGGTATCTCTCCCCATACTCTCTCTCTCTCCATTCTTCCCTGCCCTTCACTCCTCTCTCAATAGTGAACATGACACCACTTTCTAGGAGAAATTGTAATTATCAAAGGTAGTTGGAAGGGCATTGTAGAGTGTATTTTGAACCCATTCCTGCTTCTTCCCTATGATATTTTAAATAACAAAAGAGATTAATACTTATTGTATGTGCCTCTTCTTTTACTTAGCATAAAACTAAATCTGACATGCTCATTCATGTTAAAACACACTCTGATCCTTCCAGAGCAGTTAACCATTTTAGATGTTTTTACACAATTGGCTTTTCTCTGATGTTTTTTGGAGCTGTGTACCCACAGATTGAAAATAAAAATGTCGTTGTGTTACAGGACTTCTTTCTTTCCTCCAAGACTGCATAGTATTCCACTGTTTATAATACACATAGTCTTTGTCCATTCAACCTTCAATGGGCCTTGAGGATGTATGTACATCTTGGCCACTGTGAATACTGCCACAGTTAAATGGGCAAGTGTAATACCTCTTTAAGGTCTAGACCTCTAAGAATTCGGAAATGGCATTAAAGGATCCTGTGGTAGTGTTTGTTTTTATTCTTTATCAGTAGTAGTACACAAGGATCCGAGTTTTAAACATCCTCACCAACAGCCATCTGTCTTATTTTTAGTTTGGTCGTAGCCATCTGAACTCATATAAGATGGTACCTTTGCTATGATGATACAATGATTTGGATGATCAAATCCCTGGTGACCAGTGATGTTCAGCATCCCTTTGCATCTATTGGCCATTAGTAGGTTTTCTTGGGAGAAATACTAATCATATCTTTATCCAATTTTAAAGCAAGGTAGTCATTTTTTTGTGGGGGTATCTTGTAGACTTTGGAAACTAACTTCTTATCAGGCTTACATATGCATATAGACTCTCACTTTCTCTATGCTGCTGCTTCCCTTATTTGATGGTTTCTACTTCTCACAAGACTTTTGATTTTGAATAGTCTAATTTTGCTTTTGTTGCCTAGGCTCTTTGCAAAGCCAATTATGATGCTATTTCCATATTTTCTTTCAAGAATTTTGTAGTTTCAGATTTCATGTTTAAATACATAATTCATCCAGTTTTAACTGCCTTCTTTCAGAGCCATAGGAGAGTAGAGATATATGGACCAAAGGCACTAGAGAATCTCTGCTATACCCACAGCAGCTAATACCTGGAGCTGGGTGAAAGCCTAGTTTTGGTGGCTCATGAAGCTTCTGACTCTGTTGTATGACTGTTAGTGTTAAGTGAAAGAAGCTGATTTTATCAATTTAGTCTTTGGCAATTGTGTTGATAAAGACTAAAACAATAATACCAAATTTGAATGAAAGTGTTCATTTAAAGTAGTATCAGAACTATCTTTTCATTCTCTATTACAGTTACTGAAAGAGGTGGAATAAAATTAAAGTTAAAGCCCAGCATGGTGACTCATAATTGCAGCACTGGGAGGCTGAGGCAGGAAGTTGCCCATGAATTCAAGGTCAGATGGGCTACATAATGAGCTCCAGGCTAGCCTGAACTACAGAATGAGAATCTGATAAACAATCCAAGCATAAAGAAATAAACCAAAAATCAATTGGATATACACATACAATAGAAAAGAGATGCTGGGTTTCTACCTGACAATATATGCAGAAATTAATTAAAAATAGATAAGACATACATTGAAGACTTCAAACTATGAACTTTTAACAAACAACACATAGATAAGAATATTCAAGACCTCAGATTGGGCAACAGTTTATTAACTGAAACTCAACTACAGAAACCAAAGGGAGGGAATAGCCAGATTGGAATTAAACAAAATTCAAAATTGTTGGCCTTTAAATGACATTATGTAGCAGAGAAAAAGATAGGTCACAGAAAATACATTAACATTTTCAAATGACACACAAGATGCTACTTAACATCTATGATGCACAAGAAATATTGCAACTCACCTAATACTGTTATTTTTCTAAGTGAACATAGTTGTTAGCATGACTGCTCATGACTCATTGCCATACCCATAGGTCAGTTCGTTACTCAACATTGTCAGAGAAGCTTCTTCCTGCAGTAGTTGGCAGTTAACACAGAGACCCTCAACCGCTCGTGTACAAAGAATAAGCAATTGTGGAGTGCTCAGCTCAAAGTGGAGTGAACACATCACACCCCTGTCACCAAAGCTCAGAGGAAGAAGAGGTAGAAGGATTGTAAGAGCCAGAGACTTCAAAGACACAGTCAGCTCAGGGTGCAACATGGAGGGTGCACATATGAACTCCTGGTGTTCTGAGAGCATGTACAAGACTCACATAAACTCAAGCGAGACAAAACTCCCAGCATAGAATTGGAAGTGGGCACACAACACACCACTGGCTGAGGAGCTCTTGCTGTTTGATAGTTGCTATGGAAGGGAGAGAGCTTTCTTTAATGAGATGCCTTTGATAGATTGACCATAATCTGGGGCAGGCCCAGGTCCAAGTGCAGCTGGGCAACAAAAATGGACTTTATGGGGAGGGGAAAAAGAAAAAAAAACAAAGTTGGGTGGGTAAGGAAGAGAGATATGAAAGAGTAGATATGGCAAGGGCTTGGGAGATAAAATGATCAAAAGATATTGTATAAAATTCTCAAATAATGATAGTAATGTAAAAAATGTGATTCAGAAACAAATAGAAATTTTCAATAAGCAAAGAATATAATTAGACCATATTTCACTGAAGGTCTACAAATGGCCCTAAGACTAGAAAGCATATTCAGCATCATTAATTATTTGGAGAAAACAATTTATCAACGAGATTATTCTTCATTGAGCTGGCTATAATAAAAATATGTAACCAGTGGTAATCCTTAGTTCACAGAATCTTGGAATCTTCGTATAGTCTCCAGAGGAAAATAATGGTGCGGCCACTTCTACAGTTTGCAGACAACGATAAAGGATGACTCAGCAATTCCATTTTCAGGCTTGTAACTAAGAGAACTGAAAAAAAAATACATTCACACAAAACCGCTACAGACGAGAATTATGTGTGACAGTCACATACATGGTGAAATCAACATGAATGTTCATCAGTTGTGCTATATTTGCATAATGGAATATGATTTACCCATAGAAGGAAATGAAACCCCGATGCAAGGAAGAAACGTTGAAAAGCCCATGACAGACGCATTGTGTTTATATAAAATAACCAGAGTAGACAAATACATGGAGACAGAAAATAGACACATATTTTCCTGAGACCAGAAAAAGAGGTGAATAGAAAGTGATCACTAACAATTATGAGATTTCTCCTGGGTTTGATGAAAATATTCTAGAATTATTGGTAGTTAAGACTTTCCAACCTTGCAGAAACTAATGAAAACAATAGTGTCTTAGTTTCAATTGCTGTGCTAAAGATGAAAAGCAACTTCAGGAGGAAAGAGTCTGTTTTGTTTTAAACTTCTAGGTAACAGTCCATCACCGAAGGAAGTCAGGGCAGAAAATCCATTTGGAGTCAGGGCTGATACAGAGCCCGTGGAGGGGTGTGGCTTACTGGCTTGCTCCTTCAAGGCTTTCTCAGCCTGCTTTCTTACAGCACCCAGGACCACCAGCCCAGGGGTGGCGCTGGACCCTCCCACATCAAACACTAATTGAGAATTTGAAAACGACTTCAGCCTGTGTCAAATTGACATTAAAAAACAAAACAGCTAGGTAGCACACACAGAATTGCATGTTTTAAGGGGTTAAATATACGGTAAGAGGATTAGATGTCTTTATAAGTTAACCAACTAGTTAAAAAAATAAGTGATTTAGGCCGGGTATTGGTGGCACACACCTTTAATTCCAGCACTCAGAAAGCAGAGGCAGGCAGATCTCTGTGAGTTCCAGGCCAGCCTGGTCTGCAGGGCGAGTGCCAGGATAGGCTCCAAATCTACACAGAGAAACCCTGTCTCGAAAAAAAAAAAAGTGATTTAACATTCAAAGAAGTGGACATCAACCACAAATAGCGATATCAGTGATTTGACTGGAGAACAGACCTAGAGTCTGTACCTGTTGTTACACCACAAGCACCAACTTTGGTTTCTACTTTCTTTACAGGTTCATTGACTCCCGATTGTCCAAACATCGCTGAGTCAGAAAGAATAGACTGTGCGCCCGGACAGGCGGTGACAGAGGTCAGCCATGGGCTACTTGCTGGTAGCCTACAGGGTTTTATTTTAAATAAATGAATATGTTAATTGGGAAGGGATACATGGGTCTGCAATTTCTTGTCTTGATGATAAACAGTTGCACTAAGGGAGTGCAGGAAACAGGCTGGAAAATGAGACGCAGGTGCAGACAAGTTCCAAAGGCTGAAGTAGAAAGAGGATACCAACGCTGGAGACACTTCTCGGCGTGGGTTGACCTTGGTTAAATGTTTGTGGTCTAGCCTACTGCTCCTCCAGAAAGGGGCCGGCAAGAAAGTGTGCTTGAATAACTCACTTGAACTTATGTCACTTGGTGTAACAAGAACCCTCTGAAGTTGGGTAGCTGGCAACTGAGCTCTCAATGGACATGTATAAAAGAACAGATTTCCCTCCTGGGTGATGTCTACAAGAATACCAAATATTTGAACCCCGTCTCATTGTGACCATGTGACTTATGTCATAATAGTGGTGTGTGTTTAGATTTCATTCCTGTACCCTGTATTTTACATTCTATATCCAGAATTATTATTTTTAAGTAGGAATTAGGACTGTATTAAATTTTAGGTTTCAATAATTGATATCTTGGTATGTTTTTCTTAATATAAAGACATAGGCAGCCTCTTTTATTTTATCTATCTATGGTTTTACAAAACAAAGTTTAACTGTGTAGGTCTGGCTGTCCTGGAACTCACTATGTAGACAGGAATGGACTGGAACCCAGAGATCTTCCTGCCTCTACTACCTGAGTACTGGGATTAAAGAAACCATACATTTTTGTTCGTGTGTGTTGTCCTTAATATATGTTTTATTGTGAAGTTCTATTGCATGTGAAATTCCTTCTGGGTAGTTCATAGCTTTAGGGGTTTGTTTTTGTTTTTGCTTTTCAGGATAGGGTTTCTTTGTGTAGCTCTGGCTGGCCTGGAACTCACTTTGTAGACCAGACTGGCATTGACCTCACAGGGATCCACCTACCTCTGCCTCCTGAGTGTGGGAATTAGAGGTGTGCACCACCACTACCCAACTATACCTTTAGTTTTTTGATGGTTTGTTTGGTTGGTTTTTCAAGACAGGGTTTCTCTGTGTAGCTTTGTAGACCAGGCTGGACTCGAACTCACAGAAATCCGCCTGCCTCTGCCTTCCGAGTGCTGGGATTAAAGGTGTGCACCACCAATGCCCAGCTCATAGCTTCAGTTTTTATTGCAAATAGAACTCATTGTATTTCTAGCTGATGCTTATTTTGATTATAATGATTTTTTCTTACTAATGAATATTTTATATGTATTACTTTTAATTTAAATTATCATTATTTATTGTATAATTGTCAGTTTAAACTTGCAACCATTTCTCAAAAACGTTTTCCTAATTTTTAATTTGAGACACTAATTATAGCTACATCTGAACAAATAAATGATGCTTCTGCTTTGTTTTAATATCTATCTATCTATCTATCTATCTATCTATCTATCATTCATAAACTCCATTTCACTTTGTAGTAGTTCTAGCAGTATTCACATAAGTGATGATGGTCAGAAACCCTATTGTTGCACAAATTTTGTGAAAATTTCTTTTTTCTTAAATTTGAAGCTCCTTTCTTCTTTCAGTGGAAATGTTCAGGAGAGGACCAAGTTGTAGTTCGACTGAAGTCTCATTTTCTTCTGTGGAACTGGTATTTAGGGACAGAGCTTTCACCTGGCAGTTAAAAGAATTGTTCAGGTCAGCTCAGGCCTTCTGCCTGGGTCTGAAGCTTTCTCTGACGATGTGGAATTCCATGGGTCCCTGTAAACCTTACCCTGGGTCCCAGCTAGTCCCAACCCCAGACCAGTGACTTTCTCTGGCTCCTGTGTGGGTTATAGAATTGTCTACAAGGCTGTGGGGATGACCCTCGGTCAGATCTGGTCTCCACTCTGGATCTGCAGCCTCTGCTCAAGCCACTGCGAGTGATGACCTCTCTCTCACTCCTGTGGAGTTCCATTGGACCCCACCCTGAATCTGCAGTGGCTACTGCCTGTTGAGGCCACTGTCAATTGTGAGATAGGGCTTTTTATTTCTGAATTGTTGTGGTGCCTTCCTGAATGATCACAGTTTATAAGTGTGGATTGGCTTCTGGTATCTGATCTTTAAAAGGCTCTTTTGTCCTTTCATACTGCTGTAGTTACTATAGGACTGGAATAGGTCTTGTAAATCCTCAGAATCATTCCTATTTTCAGAGTATGCATTATATACATTGCTTTGGTTTTTAAAAATTATTTAATGTTCTCTTCCTTCCCTTTCCGCTGACTCATCACAGACCAGAGAAAAAGAAAAAAACTAAAAAAGAAAAGAAAAAAATTATTTAATGTTTTATTCCACTTAAATATTATTTTCAAATTGAAAGTTCCTGTTTAGTATTAATATAGATTCCAAGTTGGCTTTTGAACATTGATTTTGCAACCAGAAATTTTCTTAAGTCTACTTCTCAGTTCTCCTCTACTTTATATAGACTTTCCTGAAGCTGTGTAATATGGTAATATTCTTTAAAAATGAAGATAATTTTATGGTTTTTACTTCTTTTTCATCTCATGCACACACAAAGAAAATAAGTTTTTTTTCTCTCTGAAATCTCAGTAGGTTTTGAGATTACTTTTTAAAGCTAATAATTCAACCATAATAGCATTTGGAAAATTGATTTTTTTTCTAAGCATAAGAAATAATTTGGTAAGATAATACATATAAAAATAAGATTTCCTGAGTTTGGAAAAAGTTGTATGCATTACTAGAATTTAAGCACCTATCAGAAACTCTGGCGACACAATGCTTGCATCACACAGGGGTAAGCTAGTTGATTTCCAGGTAATTTCCTTGTCGGCTGTCTCTTCTTAAATTCTTTTTAGCTATTTTATATGATTGACAAATGATATGGAATCTTTTTTGGGAGATAATTTAGGAACACAGTTTAGGGGTACATGGTGTTATGGGGGGTGGTGGGAACAAGGAGACTTGTTGGAAGTCGACACCAATACTCCAGACAAGAGTTTAGGAGAGCTGTCTGGTGTGGTGAGAACTGAGATGGAAAGCAAGGGAAGCAATTATAGAGAAGCAATGTATGAAAGGGACGCAGAGTTTGAAGTATTGGTCACTGCTTGTCTCCAGGGTTTGACCTTTGGTATGTGGAACTGAAAGAAGCTATAAGAGCAGATTGCATGTACAAGCATTATGTTTATCTGGAAACCGATGGTTCTTTACACAGGTCTGCAGACTTTGACACAGTTTATAGCAGTGAAACTGAACTTTGGGTTTCCTGGACCTCACTTTCAGAGGTGGAAGATGTTGGCATGGAGGCAGTTGGGGTACCCAAAGTCTTGCTCTTCTAATCTGTAGGTGTTTCTTATGTGAAAAAGAACAAGGCTGGGACTGTTTAGTTTGGAGAAATGAGTGCATATTTTAAAAGTGGATGATTAGAAATGCTAGGATTTTCTCCATAAATACTTAGGTTATAGTCATAAAAGCCATTGTGGCTTTTCAGAGCAATTACATCTATTGGCATCTAAAACTCTTGTCAGTAGTATTTGGAAATAAGCAGTGGTATGACACCATCTTAATCTTTATAGTAGAGCCTGTGCCTCGTGTACTTTTTGAACAAGGGTCAGGCCTTCTAGGTGTGTACAGAACGGAATGGGGGAGTGCCATTCATGTTTTCCTTCTTCCAAATTCCTTCCTTAGAGTCAAGGCAACAGCTCCATGTGCACGCTTCTCTTTTGCCATATCTGTTGCTTTCTCTTGTCCTTCTGCTTTAAGAACAGATATACCTCTTACCTACCTAGAAAGCCTTCTTGTCCCACCTACACTACTAGCGGGGGGGGGGGGGATGGTTGGCGTGTTTCCCTTGCTTTGGGAGACATTCTACTGGGACACTTAACTCATCCTGCCATCATTACTATTTTAATTGTCTCAATTTACAACTAAATAGTTCGTTTAGTGAAACACAAGCTAAATATGTGTTACCACTTTCTTACTTTCTTACCTGGTAAATACAGAATATGTGTTGGATGGCTAGATAACTGTATGAATAAACTGGTGTTAGACCCCCGGAAAACTCAGGTATCCGGGGTCCCAGGCCATGTTCTCGGTCACCCCAATCACCAGGTGGATTCCAGAGCTTGATGCAAACTGCACGAGGCTTTATTGTAATTTAACGAGCTAACCCCATGTTAGCTTGGGTCTTTCA